AAGCATACACCTATTCGGTCGAGGTGGTCCACTGATTCTCCCCTTTGAATCCTTGTATGGGTCCGACAGCGGGGGAATGATGAATCAGACACGTCGGTGCCTGAGCATGGGAGAACTGCAATTATATACTACCAGTATGTTGCAATCTCTGGTTGAAGCTGGGAGGCAAAGGATCTCAAACCCAGACATAGTCCGTCGGTCGGGTTTAATGGCTAAATATAACTACGTACATGATAAGAATTGGAAGTCAGGATAATGAAAACTTGGAAATATCTAAGCCCCATGGGCCCGTGGTCAATGCGTAGCAAAAGGACCCAAAACTCCATTCTTTGACAGGCGATGCTTCAAGGATACCACTGAAGGATCGCAGCCAAGACCCTAAGCGAGAGCTCTGCGCAAAGCCCGATTCGCCAGGCTGCTGAAGGATTCAAGACGAGACAGGTCCTTATTTCGATTAAGCTGTTATGGTAACGTCGACCCAAAATGCTCCCCACCAGTCAATGCATTAAATATGTCGAATTTCCATCTTTCAAGTTCCTTCGCAAAATCCTCCAAGTTGACTATCAAAATGTCTTTCTCGAACACGCTTCGACCACGAGACGATGACGACGAAACAGAAGATGGTTGGTGCGATACCGCGACCATTGAGGATCAATTTCTCTGGCCTCGTGAAGGCAAGACCTGGGTGCGTGGACAAACGCAGATGGTAGGCTGGGGAGCCGGGCGCGATGTCAACGGAACATGGGGCGAAGGAAGCACCAAAGTGAAGTTGGAGTTGAGGTGGTGGACAGGCAAATATGGTCCAGGTCCCGACGATTTAAAACCCATAGTGATATTTGGTATGTCTGCTACCTATTGGATCTCATAAGAACACTGCTGACTGAGCATAGACAACAAGACCTTTGACTACCCTTCATCCGACTGGAAATTATGGAACCCCAATTGCACAGACACATATATGAACTACACTTGGACAATACCGATGGACTTGGATGTAGGCGACTCGAAATTCATGATGACAGTGTACGACGTGTCGAATCGCAGCGATATAAGCATGCTGCAAAGTAGCTTATTCTTCATCAACGCCGACAACGGAACATCAACAGCAGATTCAAATGCCAGCACCTCAACACCAGAATCTTCACAAGAAACAACAACATCGACTGGTCTTGCAACTGGTGCAAAAGCAGGAATAGGCGCAGGCATCGGTGTCTTTGCCATAGTCCTCCTCCTCGCGGGCTTCTTCCTCTACCGACGTAAGAAGCGGCAAACACCAAGCATTACCCGCACAGATCCAGATGGATTCGAAAAGCCTGAATTGGATGCAAAATCGACTGGCATTTCTGAAGTTGACGGCACTGGGATACCTCCGCATCAAGCTCCTGATAATGCGATATACGAGGCACCTGGCGTTCTGGTTCATGAGGCTCCCACTGGAAAGGAGCAGACGGTGGTGGAGAAGATGAAAGCAGCGAGGCAGATTAATGAGGAACCGATTGAGATGCCAGCGAATTCACCTATGTCGTCGCCAAAGACATCGCAGGACAGGCTGAATAGGACATAGTATTAATCCAAATTCGGCAGCGTTGACCTAAAGTCCAGCTTCTCACTTAGTAACTCACGTTTTCGATTGACTTCCGTTTCATAGAGAACCGCTCTGCTGTCTTTTCTTGTAACAGCCTCAGCATCGCGGTAGCTCATCACCACGTGCCATCGCAGTGTAACATTCGCGGTTAGTGTATCACTAGTAAGCTGGCCCCTGCTATAGCGTCTCACCAGGACGATAAGACCTCTTACCCCCGCGCCCATTTCACACCGCGAAAAATGCGACGCGTCGAAAAGCCTCCACGGCACGCGACGTTTCCAAAGCTCTGTGCACAATGCCGAGAAGCGTTTTCGTCCGAACCAAAACCTCTGCATCGTGACTCCACCATCGCCTGGGCTCCTTTCCACGAGGCGCCGTGGAAAGCCTTCGAGACCGGTGCAGACTCATCTAGAGAGTCCGTGAAGGATTGCGAATTTTGCTCCTTTGTTGTCGCGTTCGCAGCGGCGGACCAAGCCCTCGGCAAACATGGGAATGGATCCTTTGTGGATTCGGTCAGCAAAACGCCTTGGAGAACACAGGGCGACCCGGTGCTAGCACTATGGCAGTATAATGAGTATACATATGAAGGTCATCTTTCGGCGGATCTCGGTCTCAGTAGGAGTAATTTTCGCCATATGGACAGGCTTGATATACGACTCTTTGGAACTAAAGGTGCGCAACTTGACGATTGTCAGTATAACTGAACTAATTGGCGACAGACCCTCGTGTGAAATCCCAGAGGCCAATTGAAAAGACGTCAACAAGTACATCAAGTGAGACTAGTTTTGCATGCTTGTCTCAATGGATCAAGAACTGTTCGGAGAATCATAAGTCCTGCAACAAGCTACATGCCCGCACTGGTGAGAACAAAGATTGGCTCCCAGCTCGACTGGTCAAGATCATCCCAGATGCAGATGGTGTGCCTGGGGTGATCAAAGTGGTAGAAACGGACGAAAACGATGAGATTACTCCCGGAATAGAATATGCTACATTGAGCTACTGCTGGGGAAGGGAACCATTCACGAAACTACTCAGATCTAATATCGAGAAGATGACGACCACTGGGATGCCGATAAAAGACCTACCAGCAACATTTCGTGATGCAATCACTGTCACAAATCGTCTTGGTATGGAGTACATCTGGATAGATGCCCTTTGCATCATTCAGCTTGATGCGGAAGACTGGGGCCTACACTCCATCACAATGGCCAAAGTCTACTCATACTCAGCAATCACGCTTGCAGCAGCAGCGTCATCAAATGCACACGGAGGACTCTTTCGCGAACGCAACCCCGCAGGCATCAATGGTGTCAAATTGGACTTGAAGTGGCCCTCGCACGACTTTGAAGGAGAATTCCATCTGGTACCAATAGATCCCTGGGACAAAGCAGTCGGAAACTCACCACTGCTGAAACGCGCATGGGTATTCCAAGAACGACTTCTGTCACGAGGGACCGTCTACTTTGCCCACGATATGCTCTACTGGGAATGCGGTGAGCTATATGCTTCAGAGCTTTATCCTCAAGGTGGCCCTTGGGATCTGCAATACCGATACAAGAGATTCGACATCTCTGATAGGCTTCCATCTGGCGTGCAGTCGGTAGAGGATTGCAGGTTCAAGCATATATACACGGAACTTCTCACGCGAGAATTGAATTCAGAGAAGACAGTCACGGATGAAGAGATGTTTCTGTACGTATGGGCTTCAGTGGTTGCTCAGTACAGCGTCGGCAAGTTGACCAAGGAGGCTGACAAACTCATTGCTATTGATGGCGTAGCTGAGCAGTTGACGAGTATTGTACCGAGAGAGCAGTATCTCAACGGACTCTGGAGACAGGACAGTCTCCCACTTTCCCTACTATGGAGCACCATAGAGGAAGAGAAGCCTCCTAGCATCCGCGTCGCGCCGAGTTGGTCCTGGGCATCTGTCCACACGCCCGTCAACTTTAACTTCTTATTCCGAGCACAGACGGAGCCCAAAGTGGTCACGAAGGTCATAGATATCATTACCCGCGACGATAAGCCAGAAATCGCCGAGATGCCGCGTCCAACGGTACTGGTTCTTCAAGGGCCTCTCACAGAAGTACGCTTTCGCTCTGCTTCACGCAGTGGACTAGGACCCTTGCACTCAAACTGGTGGATGAGCCACAAGACGATGAGAGATCGCATCAAGTTCTTGAAACCAATCGACCTGACGCCTATGCTTGTATTCATTGGTAAAGGTTTGAAAGCAGATTATCCATGTGATATCTCGCTGGATAGAGAGGTGCAAAAGAACAGTCGAATATTCGCGCTCAAGATTGCGGAGGCTGATATCAGACATCCCTGGCAGGAGAGATTACCATCTGATTGCGGCTTGTTGTTAATCGCAGAGCGAGAAAGGGGGACGTTTAAGAGAATTGGCATGTTTGAGATTGCTGCTGAGAGAATGAAGAGGGATTGGGCAGATCAGAAGACACCGTTCACGTCGATATCTAAGTTGAGGGATGAAATATGGAGTGATCCAGGTATAGAGAAGAGGTTTTATCTAGAGAGGGATGATAAAGCTGGATATACTATTAAGATAGTCTGATAATGGTGTTTAGATGGCCATTCGAATTTTTATTGAGCCAATGGGAGTTCTACCCAGTGTATGCAACGCGTGTCAATATAGAAATACAATGCTGAGTACCAAGGCGACAAGCTGCTTCACTGTAAATGAAACATTAATAGTTATCGGGCAGTTTCGGGTGACTTTGTGGCTGTAAACTGAACTGAAGACATTTGACTCTGGCGCTAATGATGCGGAACGCCATGGGCAACGACACGGTATCTGGCAGTGAGCCAGGGACCTTGGCAATATCGGGTGCGGCAGACGGTTACGGAGGCGGTCAGTGATTTAGCTATGCTAATAAGGATTTACAGTTTAGCAGGAAATTACCATATGCAACACGAAAATTGAGCCTCGTTGCACAAATAAGAACGTGACCCGGTCTAAAATGATTGGTGTCACTTGAGCATCAGAATGATGCTGTACAAACAAGCCCTTACTCTCAACGGATCATCGAATGTGTTCTATACCCGAAATTGTCTCACATTCACCGCCAATTCTCAATATTGATGCTTGGTATTACCCTGTACTTCAAGCCACCAACAATTGATGTCTCAATCTGCCTTATCTTGGCACCAAACAAATTTAAGCTCACAACACGCCCGCCCGCGAACACGCGTCCGCTTGCATAACTTAAACCAACATAACTTTAAGCCACGAATACACATTACTCTAACCATGGCCGGGTGAGCAGATCCACCCGCTGATCGATGACGATGTCCCCAGCCACTAAAAACCGCCCGTGATTCTCATCTTCATCCCTTTGTACTACACATTCCTTCTTCTCCTCTTTCACCTGCCATACCTCACACTTATCTTCACATCATGGCAAGAATTGCAGAGGGCCTGCCTAGGGCTGGCTCGACGACTACTGTTACGACGCAGAGAAAGAAGAAGACCATTGAAGCAAAGGCGTTGACGACAGAGGTTCAGATGTTGGCGGGTGCTGATGTTTGGGGTCGTGCAGCATTTGGGAGGTCGTGGCTGCGATCGCTCGTTGGTGCATCGCCTCTGTTCCTCGCGCCAATGGCCTCAATATCAATCTTCATCACACTGGCCGAATACGAAGGATCACTCTCCCTCTTCGCAGACGCCGTAAAAGAACACGGCTTCTGGACCATTTGCGCCCAGTACGGTCCTCACATCACCACCAAAGGCATCGCCGCAGTCATCTGCTTCGTTAGCATACAAGCACTTCTCTACTGCCTCCTCCCAGGGGAACAACACCAAGGCCAATTGACACCAGCGGGCTATCTCCTCAGCTACAAAATCAACGGCCTCTCAGCCTGGATCGTCACGCATCTCCTCTACGGAGCTCTCAGCTGGTTGGGGATTCTAGACCCTGGCTTCATTCCCCGTAATTGGAGTAGCTTGATTGGAGCTATGAACTTAGCTGGGTTCGTTATTTCGGCACTTGCGCTCATCAAAGCGTACGTAATGCCGACGCACCCAGAAGATAGGAAGTTCAGCGGTGAGATTACGCTCTTTTTTTTTTGAGTTTTTGGGTGTATGTAATTAAACGCTAATTTTGTTGAGCAGGGTCGTTTCTATACGATTTCTTCATGGGGGTTGAGTTGAACCCGAGGTTGGGGGAGAACTTTGACCTTAAGCTTTTCAGTAATGGCAGGGCTGGGATGATGGTGTGGACCCTGATGTGAGTCTGGCTAATTTGATACGAGAACGGAAACTTACATGATATCATGCAGCGACTTTTCGAACATGGCGTATCAGTACCAGAATCAGGGATACGTCGAACCATCGCTTATCCTTGTCACCGCACTACAGACCATTTACGTGGTGGATTTCTTTGTCAATGAATCATGGTATCTGCGCACAATCGACGTCAAATTCGACCATTACGGCTTCTATCTCAGCTGGGGCTGTTTCTGCTTCTTGCCAACAACATACACCATCCAAGGTCAATATTTGGGCCGCTACCCATCGTCAGCTTCAATACCTTACCTAGCATTCTTCTTCGCCCTCGGAGTAGCAGGTTACATCCTCTTCCGCTCCGTGAACCACCAAAAAGAAATCGTACGACGCACCGGCGGAAAATGCACCATCTGGGGTAAACCAGCAGAATGCATAGTCGCTTCCTTCAGGACCTCCGATGGCCGGCAGCACAGAAGTTTGCTCCTCTGCAGCGGTTGGTGGGGATGGTCTCGACACGCGAATTACCTGGGCGATCTGATTCTCAGCTTCTGCTCTTGTGCGCTGGTGGGTAGTACGAGGGCTGTGGTGTGGACGTATGCGGTGTGGATGGCGGTGTTGCTCGTGCATCGGTGTATACGTGATGAGAAGAGCTGCTCGGTTAAGTATGGTGCTGCGTGGACTGAGTATTGCAGACGTGTGCCTTGGCGATTTGTTCCCGGAGTTTGGTAAGATTTTGGACTTGACGGACTTTGGTCGAGGGAGATTTGTGTGACGCTTGGTGTAAGGTTGTGAAACAGTGTGGACAGATGATTACTTGTGCTCAGGGCGAATGCTCAGCCCGGGTCTAGTCTCGATAGATTTAGAATGTTATGCAGGTTATGCATATCATACTTGAGAATGAGAAAGCTTTCAATTTCTGTGTAATGAATGTGTTACCAAGTTGTTACATTGCGAGTCAAGGTAGGCTTCATCACCGCCTTTTCCATCCCGTCCACTGTCTCGGTTTAATCATTGTGATGCTGATCAAAGTTACACAATTCTTTCCCTTATTCGACCGGTACCTTGCATGGCGTCTACCAAGTTGGCCTTGGTGCAAGTATTCAAACAATGGAATAGACATTGCCTCGAGAGTACATATTAGTCAGTTCTGCCCAATGTTCCGGACGCTCCCTTTTGACAGCTCATGCAAACCGCGGTAAGCCATGGAGCGACATAACCAAGTTGTCCAAGACATCGCGGCCAAGATACGCGATCTCTACAAGCTCCACCAGCCATATCGCGTCTTTCATGGTTCTTCAAGCAGTACTCGTCCTCGCCATGGGACCGACTCGAATATCATCGACATCAGCATGCTATCCCAAGTCATCTCAGTGGACACAGCACAAAGAACCTGTCTAGTCGAGCCCAACGTACCGATGGATCGACTGGTTGAAGCCACTATGCCATACGGTTTAATACCGCCAGTGGTAATGGAATTCCCCGGGATCACAGCAGGAGGGGGCTTTGCAGGGACATCTGGGGAAAGCAGTTCTTTTCGACATGGCTTCTTCAACGAAACGGTGGACTTCGTGGAGATAATACTTGGAAACGGAGACATAATCCGGGCATCACGCGAAGGACATGAAGATCTGTTTTATGGTGCCGCGGGTACTGCTGGGACTTTGGGCTTGACCACATTGATGCAGATCCGACTTGTCGAAGCAAAGAAATTTGTCAAGACAACGTATCGCAGAGTTAACAGTGTGTCAACTGCTATCTCTGCAACGAAAGAGTGTTGCGAGAAAATGGATGTTGACTATCTCGATGGTATTCTCTACTCGAAGAACCATGGCGTTGTTATAATGGGCGAGTTGACCAACGCCAAACCAGATGACTATCCAGTACAGACTTTCAGTAACGCAGGAGACCCTTGGTTCTATCTCCACTTCAAAGAACAGACTGAGTACCTCTCTCCTTCGGCGACAGTCACAGAATACATACCACTCGGCGAATACCTCTTCCGGTACGACAGGGCTGCTTTTTGGGTTGGTCGCCAAGGATACACATACTTCAAGATCGTTCCATTCAACAGATTCTTCCGCTGGCTTCTTGATGACTACTCTCATACGCGGACACTGTATCATGCTCTTCACGCAAGTCGAATTTCGGATCAGTTTGTGGTTCAGGATCTAGCATTGCCTTACGACACAGCTGAAACGTTTGTTGAGTGGGTGGAGTCAGAGTTGGGGATATGGCCCCTCTGGCTTTGTCCTCTAAAAGGCTGCCAAATACCTACGTTTCACCCCGTTACCAAAGGCTCTTCGAATACTGGTGCAGGGGACAACATGTCGCAGCCCATGCTTAACATTGGAGTTTGGGGCTGGGGACCTTCAGACTCTGAAGAGTTCAAAATAAAGAACCAGGCTCTGGAAAGAAGACTGGCAGAGTTAGGTGGTCGCAAATGGCTCTACGCGCATACGTACTACACCGAAGAACAATTCTGGGAAATATATGACCGCCCATGGTATCAGCGGCTCAGAGAACGCTATTCCGCAACGAGTTTACCGACTATTTACGACAAGGTGAAAAAGAGCGATCCTAATGCGGGCGAGAAAGACGACAAGGGTTGGGGATTTGGGGTGTTGTTGAATATGTGGCCCGTCGGTGGGATCTATGGCATGATACTGGCATTTTACTCGGGAGATATCAGTCTCCATCGACGAGCGAGATGGAGGTATGTGGACCAGTAGAACATTTTGTGTCGGCTCTATAGTGAGCTGGTTGGTTTCATTGGTCTGCGGTTGGCGGGAGTTTTCAGCTGGCAAGGATCCTGGAGCTGCAAGGCACTGGTAGGCAAATGCCTTCGTTGCTTCAAAGACAAACAATATAAGACTCTCGGCTCCAGCAAATATTTATGACATTTTGAATAACTCCCATGATCAAAGCCACCTGTTTCTTTGTGATAGCGATGCCATTCATAAATACATCATTATCAATTGGGCTGCCGAAATGCCTCCCGACCCCAATGCTGACATGCATATCAACATCTTGGCAGACGGCAGTGTGCATGAAGATGACGTTTTAGTAGATAAGGCTCTCCAGGCAGCAAGCCAGAACCTCAATCTGAACCTCCTCTTTAATCATCACCATAATCAGGAACTAGCCCTAAATCAGACCCGCGCCTTCGCCAAAATGGTGGAAAGAAGTTTCCAGTACCTCCCAACGCTCAACTTCACAGACAGCCCGTTCAAGCAGTTCACCATCCCCCAGGATTGGAGAGCATGGGAGGTCGCGTGGCTTTATCACCTACCCGCCATCATCACCAATGATAAAGTTCCTGCCAGACTAATCGAGACCGGGTGTATCGTCGATAACGTGACTAATTGTCATAAAGCCTGCGGAAGCGAAGAGCACATGTTCTCTAACCCCGAAACGCTATGGAACTGCCTTACCTTGGCGACCGTTGCTATGATGTCTACCAACCGCGGGCCAGATTCTATCAGCAATGAGACTTTGAAGGAAGTGGATAGGAGGTTTAAAACCGGTCCGCTGGATGAGTTCTGGAGACTTGGTGCATTGTTGAGCTACGTCAAATGCGCGTTGCAATCTTGTTCGGACTCCAAGTTCGGTGGATGCCCGCCGGAACTGTGGACATTTCAAAGCCAAATGCTCACATCTAAGAATATCAAGGACCTAGGCAGGATAATGAGTACTGAGTACTGCGACAAAGCTGATCCTGGAATTGACTACGATATTGCAGGGCCTGGCGTGAGTTCTGTAAGACCGAGATTGAAAGGGGTTACTGACCATATACAGATAATCGTGGCATATCTAATCCAGTTCACGATAGTCCTATTCTTTGCACTATGCTACAAGATCACCAAAACTTGGATAAGGAACTTCACACTCATTTCGCTCCTTCCATTTCATGGACCTGCTGGAGCCGTCGAGACTGCTTTTCACTGGCAGAAGGTGGTCTCGAGGAGCAGCTTCGGTGTTGCAGTTGCTTCAACTCTCACCAATCTCCAGGAAGCTCAAGCTGTCTTCCTCGGCACCATATCCATAGCCGCTATCATCACCTTCTCAAGTACTAGCGGAACGGGACTCGGTAACATAAGTTCACTACTCTCCTGGCTGACAAACAACCTCACTGTAAGAGGGATGGTCTCGGCGGGGATGTATCCCCTGCTGTTTGTACAGCTCATCCTTCAGAAGACTCACAATCGTTGGTGGTATACACTTGCTCTTGTGTTCATCAACTGGGTTCTCGTTGTGCTCATTGCGCGTCCCCAGACTGTTGATGAGCCTTCGTTATTGAAACACTTCGATGAAAGCTCGCCTCTGGAACGCTGTGGAAATCACACTGGTCCTAGGACGTTCTGTCAGACTTTCAACAAGGCCACGGGGAGGGGTTCTAGTTCAACTACTGGCGAAGAGTTGGGCCATCTGGATCGTGATGCAGAGAGTTTCTTCAAGTTTCATTCTAGAATGCAGGCACCGATGCATATCATTATGGCATTCCTAATATTGGATTGGATCGTTGCGATGGTTAGGATGCACCTCTTTGAGCGGGGCGACTGGCTATCTGATAAGGCCCATGCTTTGATAGATTACCTGCCTTTGCATCTAAAGTCATTTTATATCCAGAGGCACTTCGTGCTCTTCACAGAAGCTATCTGGATCTCCATGGAGGTCCTCACTATCGTCATGGGCGTCATAGGGGTAAATGAGTTTGCGGCATTTATGCATCTGCTCAGTGGCGGGGAGTCGGGTAATGAGAGCAAGGTTGCCCTATCGAAATGGGGTTTTGGACAGCTGGTAGCAGTGTGCGTATGGGTGCCTATTATTCTCAAGTTCGCTTGTCTCATGGCTGGTAAGTTGACATCGCTTTCTTGTCTCGTCAAGCCCGAGCTGATAGCTGACATGTTGCAGATGGCGCTTTGCCTGGTTGGAGAAAACGGTTGGGTCAGTTCATCGAGATTACGCAGCGCAAAGAAACAGAACCGGATGGGAACGATGTTGTTATGGAAACTTTGCTTCCATCCAGACCGACCAAGAGGGGCCGGACGGATGAAGTGGAGGGGCGTACTCTAACAGCGAGGCGGTCTTGGGGCAGAACATATGATTAGTCTGGGATTCCGTGACATATACGCAACGCAAGAGACATCTCTGCACACAGAGGTCCAATATCGCCATCGCAATCTGCTGAAACGTGACTTGGTAACATGCGCGTTGCACACGTCTCTAATTCAGTGCTTACTGGGGTTGAATGGGTCAGTCGAGGAGTTGCTGAACTTACCCGGCCAATCAGCTAGCCCATAGAGCCATCCAGGCCTGCGAGCTGAAAGCTCTTGTGAGGCGCTATCGAATTTTAGCGTGTGACGTCTACCTCAAATAGGACTTATATACAGAGCCACCAGACCATTTCTAGAAGAAATCCCCTCAGTCTTCCCGTGTGCATTTTGCGGTTCCTATCTCATTTCGCTCCATATCACTATGAACTCAGAAAACCCCGAAAGAACCTACGCTCGATGGCCTCTCCGAGACGTGCCTGGCACGCCCGCGACAGACGTCCTCCCCATAGGGCCTGAAGCAGACGGAATTAATACCGTTTTTGACGATGATTCACGCAAATTAGTTGATCCGAAGGACTACCGACCTGGAGGAAAATATCATTGTAGGTCCTTGAGGCATTTCAATGTCAACAACCTAGAGTTAGCACAAACCTGACGCTGTATCTAGCTATTGTCAAGCTCCAGATTCGATTTGAAGGCCAGGATGCTAGCGACACGCGTCATGCCCAAGCTACAGGATGGCTAATCATGCCCCATCTCATCGTCACCGCCGCCCATTGCGTTTACGACCATACCCACGACTTCGGCAAAGCTATTCAAGTCCGCGCTTTCGTGGGATATAATGGCAAGAACTCTATTGATAAACCTGGTGTTCAATTTCGCCGGGGTCTCAAGGTGGTTGTTCCGAAAGACTGGATTATCAGTGACACCAACCGCAGATGTGATGTCGCTTTCATAAAAGTGGACGAATTCAGCGATGTCGTGCGTATTGCCCAGCAGCCAACTAATGGAATTGTCGAAAAGATGTTTCGGAGCGTGGTTGGGTATCCTTGCGATAAATCCTTGGGTGATGAACGAGGAGCGCAAATGTTTGAGATGTCCAAAATAACAGATTGCGATCTGTCAAAAACGCCATTCAATTTGCTTGAACACACGATATCCTTTGCAAATGGTGAGAAGTGATCTTTATGAACTGAATTACTCATAATATTGACCGGATACATCAGGCCAATCCGGATCCCCTGTCCTCATCAATGGCGAAAGCAAGGCTATCGGCGTCTCTTCACATGGCACTGGAACCAGGAATACAGCAACTGTGTTTCGAGGTAGATTCGGAACGTACCTCAGCGGCATGTCTGCCGTCATGTTTGCCTTGGAACGTGGTCCGGCTGGCAGCGAAGATATCAGATACATGACGACTGACGGCCGCGCGGAGGGCAGTCTGATAGGGGAGCCCCTTAGTGATGGGAAAGCCTTTTGGGCAATTTTCAGGAAGGTTACCGCCATTGGCCAGAGAGTTGATCATTCGGTGTTACGAACTGGATCGCCTTTCTTGGGCCAGGTGGGTAGTCCTATCGCTGCCGTTGCAGGCACCGCACTCGGCGTGTTGAGTAAACTGGGCGCAGACCCTTCGATCGATATTGGCTCCGTCCATGTCAATTACAGACAGTGTGCTGCACGCGCGATTGTCGCAGAAGCTGCAATGCAGACTCTCATACAGATGGATGCTCACCAGGCGAACGGATTCAAAATATTCGACAAGATAGAGGACCAATTCCCCGAGACGAAGGATGCTGTTCCCAGAGTTGCAAAACTCATCACGCCTGGAATTATTGAGTCTGCGCTTCGGATCTCAGTCAAGGCGCAAGCTGGCTACGAGGAAACGTCTAGGCTTTACCCCAAGCTCCCTCCAGTCAAAGGCTCTCTAAGCGTCGCTGATAAAAGATTTGCTGACGCCTTCACCCGGTACACAAATCAGGGCGATGGCAATGTGATGTCTGAGTTTCTTTCAAACATTGTCAACCTTGGTTTGTCTGCTGGTTCTCCCAAAATGGACGGCATCACCCGAGTTATGGGCGAGTCAGAATTCAGCGTGACCGACATGTCGACTCATGTCGAGATTCTGTGTCATAGAGCTTTAATTGGCGACACTGCTTTGAAAGCTTTCATCGCCATACCCCTCGATCAAATGATGCAGAATGGTCTGTTTGATCACTTTGTTGGTGCGGTTGGGAATGTTGGAAGAACGGTCATTGCAGTCGCTCCTGTGGTTGTTCAAAATATTTTGAACGATCTCAAGCAGCGCCGGTAAGCTTGAATAGACAGCAGTGATAAAAAATGAAAATCAACGAAACATGATTCTATGCATAGTGAGGCTATAGCTCACCGAACTGGAGGCATCCTTCAAATATAGATCAGAATCTTAACAATTTTTTGTATCTCGATTGTTTAATGTATCTGCAGATCACCGCGAGATCGTTGCCAATACCTTTCTGTTCTGTAGATGTTTACCAGGGCTCAGCCTTAGACTTTGAGGCCTTCCAATGTCTCACAGGACTGTTGGAAATGTGCGGGGCTCGAGATACGATTGGTCTGTGTTGCAGCGATCGACCTTTACTACAAGGGATGATCGGCTATGTTGTTATTCTTTTCCATAACTAGACTGGAGGTGTTGGTTGGGTATAGGGCCAGAATTGGTGGCTAGATGCTTCTCAACTGTCAAAGCGGCGGCTTCTCAAAATCTGGAGGAATTTTGGAATTTGACGAATCTAAAGCTTTGAACTAGCATCCGGAACAGAAGTTTCACCTTGGTTAATGTCTAGGTTCGTTAGCCAGCAGCATTATCTCCATCTGAGAATCATGGCTGACAGCTTGAATCAGCAGAGAGAACTTGGTTCCAACAAGGCAGCGCAGCACGAAAGGATCCAAAAACGCAATTGTATATAAACATATGACAGTAACTGTTGACAATATCTGATATGTAACCATGTTATCCAGATGTCCTCCCGGATCAAATGTACACCGGACACAGAAGAATGGAACGTCACGCCCTCCATTTCTCTCATAGACTACGAATCCCTTTCCCTATCTCCCCTGACACCATGTCTCCAAATAAAATCGGCTACATCAGCCCATCGAGACTCAGTTGGCAGGCTTCTCACTCTTTCTGATCTGAAAGCATGAACAAGCGGTGGATACGGTAGGGCTGAATGTCCTTGGGGTCGGGAATGGGAGGCCAGGGCTGAATCTTTACCTCGGGCGGGATGGTGGTGATGACACTGACGCGCTGCGGGTCGTGTGCAAGATCTGGGACCTTTTCCCACGCAATGGTCCACTTGATAGACCCTTTTTCATAACTGGCGTTGACCAGTTTGATGAAATCAGGGTTAAAATCAATTTTTACCGAAGCATTCGGCTCTTTGGGAATTTCAGCTGTGATGTCAAGGCGACCCTCGTCCGAAAGGTAAAGATCCTCATAAGGGCGGATAGTAGTAGTATAGCCTGATTTCTTGTCTGGGTTGCTAGCCAGGGTGAGGTCGTCTACGGCAGCCAGAAGAGACGCAGTAAGATCCGTAGTAGGCTTGGCCCAGTCAAGATACTCAATCTTGATCTCAGAAATGCCAAAGGCGGTCTTGATCAAGACCGTCTCGTTGTTGAAATCGTGGATGGGTAGATGAATTGGAAGTTCGTAGTCGAATTCCACCTCCTTCTCGTGGGGAAGCTTGGAGAGGCCACCACTGTAAGCCAAGACGGCAAACTTGAGTGCGCCCACCCAGATCTCTTGATCAAAGAAGGGCTTGAGGAAGAATCCGGGGATCTTGCCTTTAGCGTGCAGAACGAGCTTGCCATTGAGTCCCTGGTACTTGGCAGTGAGCTCGCTGAACTTGATGGGTACAAGAGAGGCCATTTTGAGAAATGTGAGGGTTTTCTGTGCTGAGGAAAATGAAGTGTCTGATGGTTGATGATAGTTTCCTTTGGTGAGCAGATTTACAGGTATTTATAATAGGTTTGAGAGCACAGGACGGCAGACATGTTTCTCGGTGGCTGATGATCTTCAGCTGAAAGCTTTCCTCAAAGGGTCACTTCATGTGCTGCAATCACAGTGATATGTTGCCATATCCAATATTATTTGAGAAGGTTTGGATATCACATCCGCATATGGTCTCTTCCCCGGCCTCCATTCTCGAACTCAAGAGGCTCAAGTACGACAGGTCTATGAGCACTCTCTCATTCGTCCTTGGCCTACGCTTGGAGTTGCGCACGCTTACCAGAAAGGAATATTCTTCACCGAATTCGGCTCATCCAGCTAGCCACGGGCCGCGGAGGGGCCCGAAGCCGACCGTCCAATGTCTTAGTACCGTACTCAAAAGCGGAATAGATCACCTCGTTCTCGTATCAGATCACATTATTTCGTCAATATCACATATCGTCAAGCGGTAGTTTATGTGATAATGCAGCCTCGTGCACTAGAACGGCCCATGCCGTCCTCAGCTCCGCCCGTTTCAGACGTGGCGCATACTTGAACTACCTTATCAGGTTAGTTGATGAAAGGCCTACAAACTCCATACCCTTTTGTGACAGCCATCGTTCGTTTATACAGAAGGACTCTATCCCGTTATGGCCTGAGAGCGAAACTATTAATTTGAATATTGAGACAATTAGGATTTGGCTGAGCTGAAAGTCTTCCTCTGAGCGTGACAATGTTGATCGCTGATGGAGATGTCTCACCTCCCAGTGGAGCCTTCTATCACATCAGCGCTACGGCCCGTGAGTGGCTGTATTCTTTCTCGGCAATTGTCTAGCCGTTGTCTTCTATTCTCTTCTCTTCACTTCACATCCTACGTCAGGGCTGTTGTTGTAATTGTGCGTCCTGATTTGCTGCACTGTTGCACGCGCTGGGCAGCTATTGCCAGCTGAGATCTCGAAAGGTAAAGAAACTCGGTGATCACAATGAACGGTTTGAGGATTGATGAGAGAGGAATCTTGTGGGGTGTATTCAGTGGCAAAGGCCCAAATATCATTGGTCTGACGGTTGTGCAAAACTCCAGATTACACATTAGCCAAGCAGCCCATTGCCAAGGTCGAGGGAGCGAGTTATTCGACTAGGGTTCCCCGGTTCGGGTAGTAAAATACATTAAGAACAATAATGGTAACCAGGAGATGGGTCATAGACTTAGTTTTAACTGCTCTCTTCGAATGATGGGGAAGGCGGCCAATAGCGCACTATTCGAGTATATGGCTCGTTCGTGTCTCGATGCAGGCTCTGCCCCGTCTAAATTTCTCTAATTGACTAACATAAATTTTCTCATAGTAGGAGTCAAGCCCTTTGCTCACGTCTGCGCTGTCGTCGATTTCACTTTTGAATGATGGATAGGTAGCCAGGTACACCACGACGTCAGTGCTGGCATGCTATATGAGCTCACACTACCCAGCGTCGGGTATCAGTGTTACGACTAGATTTGTGTAGAAACCCAGTGTGCCAATGATAGATTGCAGTTTTGTATTCGAAGACTTGGAGCAGTCTTCCGCAGGCAGCTCCTGCGAGATCCTTGCCCTGCTGGAAATAAAGCCTTAGCATAATTGAAAGGAACAGTTCAGGTTCTATCAGACTCATGGTTTATCATAAACGTTACGTTTCGCTGGTTCTTGGCCATTGTTCTCTGGTAAAGCCCACATAGGGCTCTCGGGAAATGGCTTCGATCAGTAAACAAATATTGTTATTTCGAGAATGCTTTGTTATCAATCTCATCTTATAAAATCTCTCTGGATTAGCGGCGACTTTGTATAATCACAATTCCAACATATCACCAAGTAATTTACAGTGGGATTCCAAAACCTCATGCATAAGCAATGCCGCCAAGGAGTGGCTTGAGGCGGCAGTCGTAACTGTGGTTACACCTGGGCATAATCGCGATTGAGTGCACGGCATTTCGGCCTATAGATTTGCTGGAAATCTGCATTTGTAATCCTGAAAAATGCCCTGTGGTGGCTCAAACACGTAGTTGAATATTATTGGTAGCCTCGTTCTGTACTTTGTACTTGATAGCCACTTCACAAATCCCTCGCGTGAATCTTCTCTTCTCCTCTTATCCTTCTACACTCTAGCAACCATGGCCGAGCTCGCACTAGCTATCATTCCTCTGGGGATAACAGTTACATCTGGTCTTGTTAAGTATTTGAAAGCCTTCAACGACCACGATGACGACCGTACCCGACTTTTGCGTCAGGCTGAGCGTTTTGCAAGCACGTTTCAATCACTTGAAGCCGCCTTAAACCGGTCTCAGCTTGACCCAGAACTTTCTGCCTCGGTATCGCAGGCTTCTGGTTGTCTCAAGGATTGCCAAAAAGCATTGGAAGAACTGGACATCCTTCAACAGAAAATCTTTCCCGCAACCACTAGCATGGTAGCGGCGACATGCCCCGCGCGTACAAAGAACAAGATAAAAGATGGGTACAAGAAGCTCATATATCCACTGCGAAAATCCGACATCGAAAGTCTGGGAGGAGCTCTGGATAGGCTCTCAACAACGCTTGGCTTAGCTCTAGAAATGCTTCACATGTAAGGCAACCAAATCTCTTTTGATCACCGCAGCTGATGAACTCCAGAGACGAAGAATCCTTAACAAGAAAGATTTTGAATGAGCAAATGGCCGAGATTCAGAAAAGCACTATTGTCAACTCCAATACAGCTACAGCTATCCAAGAACTACACCAACCTATCACGAAGATCGATTTGGCAGTCCCCGTTCTGCAGACATCTGTTGATTCTATTGTTCCCCGTGTCGATCAGAGGTTGGATCAGATTTCCTACCAGATTTCTTACCAGCATGTCCAGATGCAAGCTCAAATCGAGGCACTTCTTGATATGGCTGGGCCTGCAAGATATCAGGATCGCCTCGAAACAAACAGACAGCTTTCATACAATCAATCCAGCGAACAAGGCAGCCAGCTTACAGCCAGCGAACCAGAACTGCTTACACTTTGCAAAAGAACTGAGTCTCTGTCTATGTGCTCTTGCAAGCGTCGACGTGTGCGTCAGAGAAAAAGGTTTGCGCTGGGACCTGTGCATTTCACCGAAGAGATGTTATCCAATGTGTGGCACGAGAAAGACTGCGTGTTCTTTAAACTACCATCAGACTACGAAAAGACACGAACCATTCGTTTTACTGGTTTGGCTTCTTTGCTGAGAAAAGGGATTGAAGTGTCATTTTCTACCCGCTTTCGGGCCGGGGTATCCAGTATCAGTCCCTCTTTTACCTACTTTCCAGTGGTTCCAGTGGCTGATGCACGCGTCGCACCAGCATTCCTAGTCATGGATCTTCTTTACGATGCAGCCAGACTCGAGGACATTAATGAGACAAGATCTCGAATAATTCTGAACACGGTGCAGCGAAAGATTCAAGAATTATTTTGCTCGGGAAGAGCAAGTCCCAATGACGTAACCGAAGACGGCGATACCCTACTTCATGCCCTGGCAGAGTCGGTAAGATCGTATGAAGTCAAAGTATAACAGATCATTTGACTGACTTCCTTAGGTATGGCGCTCGTTGATAACTCCGGAAAAAGCAAATTCCCCATTCGTGCGTTTGACTTGTGAGGGTTTGGTCAATTTTCTTGGTGCCGCAGGTACATCTGTCACGGCTCGCGATAATCACGGAAAGTACGTGCCCCCAAAAATACACTGATACCCAACTCAACAATTTTCAGCTTAGCATTGCATGGATTTATCAATGGAACATTTGTTCCTGCCTCCATCTATGGCCCGCTGATTGCTGGAAACGACGTGGCAGATCTCCTCTCCGTGCATTATTCCGCTCTATCTCCTAGGCTTGAAATCCTCAAGTATCACGAGCACAACCCGAAAGTGGCAGAGAGTAAGTTCCACCATCTTTTTCAGCCGTGGCCTGCCACCCCTTCTATGGTCCTAGAACACTTACAGCGTGTATCAGTTCAGTATGGTCCCTTGAGCTTAGCAGTCATTCGAAACAATCTGCCAGAAGTGGAGCGACTCACCTCGACACAGCCACACATGCTCGAAGAGTTAAGTGTCTACAGGGAGACGCCCTTACATATAGCCATACACAGGCCCGAAATCTTGAAAACACTGACCAAGAAAGTGAATCCCGAAGTTTGGATTCCACCGGACGGTTATGGGGCGACTGTTCTTAACTATGCAATGCGAGCCAGTCGGGAGATTTGTAACCCAGGAAAGGCTTTGGATGATTCATGTTGCCCTTGCACATTACCGCTTCGGATTATTTTAGCCTCTGGATGTCCCATTATACCTCACCGCGATTTCCATCCGGGCTATCGTGGTTACTTCTTCGAAGCTTCTCCTCACTGCAAAACACTCCTGGCAAAGGAGTTGCGGATTCGTCGTCAGCAGCTGCGGGACTTGGCCCTGAACAAACTTTCAATCACAGAGTTGAGAAACTTTACAACCCTGGACGAGGTACCCGACCTTGAAGCCATCGGGATGGATAGGTTGCTTCGCCAAAAAGGAATTCTTGGTCTGGGCCCCTTGTCGACTTTCGTGAATGGGTATCTGCCTCAACGGCAGGGACAAGATGTTAGGTACTATTCTAGGTCAATATTCTTCGACCTAAGAACTCCAGAAGATGCAGATCTCTTCCTAGACTCCGGCTTCAAGATCATCTCCACTGATCAAGATTATACCTCTTCACTGGACAGAACACTCCATAACCAGGATTGGGCATGGATTCGTTACATTTCACTCGAGTATGCAATATGGCTATTTCAACACCAGGCCCCGCTATGGAAATGGCATTACAGGTTCACTAGCCCGATGCCTTCCGTTTTCGTTCTTGCAGACATTCTCGGTATTGAAGACTACAAATGTGCGGGCCAGGATAACATAAGTAATAGGGCAGAACATCACCTGTTCGAATCTGTCTTGATTGACAAATGCTATTGTCTGTGCTCACCCGATGGCTGTACCCCCTTTACCTTGAGAATGAAGTGGCTCGCACATCCCCACGAGCAGGTTGAAGAGCTAACACCTCACGAATATGGCACACAATTCGGTTCTTATGCGGAAATATATGGCAGGTGCTTGAGCCTGAGCCATCACGTTATCATGGTGCGTCAAGCAACATTTGCTGCGCTAGATTTCAGACATACCTGTTTGGATAGGCCTGGATATAGTTGTTTCTCGAATGATCCCAATTGGGTGTATTTTATGGGTCCAGTGAAAGAACTGGAACCAGACGAGATAGAGCTTGAGACTCTCAATGTAGATGGAGAGGCAATGAATCAGTTGGAGGAAGTGGTCTCCATGTTTCAGCACTTAGTGCTATCCGGTCGCCAAACGACTGTCTCAAGCAAGAGTGACACTCTTGATATCGATTATTCAGCATTCAACGATCCAGCCGCCCTTGGCATAGACGAACTCTATTACCAGCGGATTTTAGAGTTTTGGCGTCACATTTGGGTAGATAGGATTCAGGTTGCTCTGGATACTGTTGCCAAAAGTTGGGAGACCAAGCTTGATGGGCAGCATGATCCTGTCCAACTTTCGACTTGTGAGGAGGCAGGTGAAGTAACAAAAGGCAGCAAGGAATTTGATGACGATGCGATGTTCAACAGAATTATTCAGCGGATCCAGGATATCTAAAGAGTACCATGCTAGGGTTAATGTTATACAATTGGATGATTTTCCTCCCTATACAGATTCAGGCAGTTCTCCCTCAATATTTTGCAAGACGACTTCCATTAATCACAGTTGACACTTGGATGGGAAATATTAGAACCAGCCACCACATGTACTGGTGCTCTTCCTTTGATGTCTACAGCTATCAAATGTAATACCAAGCATAGAATCATGGCCAAGACAGTGTTAGATGAAGTTGGAGCCTATTCAGGTCATCGCAGCCTAAATCTAGGACTTTAGGTTTCTAACTTTGCTTGATTAGGACTTGGTTCCGCACTACAGATGCGGTGCCATTCCGCATAGCCAGCTGATATGCCGATCCCAGTCGCCCTAGGGGAGGAAAGAAAACGCAGGATCTTGATCCTAAATGACAAAAAGACTTGGGTAATATAGCCTAAGTTTGGGATAACCTTTAGTAAGTTTATTTTGACACCCCAAATTAAGGTTCGCTGTTTTCTTGCCCCCCCCGAGGTCACCTAACGCTATCAAATTATCGAGTTTCCATGCTATAATTACCGGCCTACCCCCCAACACAATGCCATGCGGAAATTCGACCCTCCCCACAAACTTTTTCTCAGCACAACAGATCGCCCACCACCACTATGTCGCTCGAAAATACCGATCCTCTGGCTGGACTTGATTCCATTGACTGGTCTAAACTCAACCACACCTATGGGCCAGCCGATGATGTACCTCATATTCTGAGGGAGCTTCAGTCTACAAATCCCGACGTCTACAAAACAGCGCTTGATTCATGCTGGTCCAACATCTATCACCAAGGCACCCGCTACAGTGCTTCCGTTGAAGCGATTCCCTTTCTATATGCTTTGCTTGATAGCCCAGCAACCAAGGACCGCGAGGTCATATTATTCCTGATTGTCAGTCTTGCAATTGGCAATCCAGACTGGGCGGTTCCTAATGGGATCGACATCAAAGAATGGGAAGAGCGTATCGCGCGTATGGAGCCCCCAAACCGTGGGTATGCCATGCATGAGCTCAAAGCTTACGAGGCTGTTGAGCGGGGACTGTCTTCGATGGTCCGTTGCTTGAGTGAGAATTCAGCGAGCTTGCGAGCCAATGCGGCTCATGCTTTGGCATTCTTCCCACGCCACTCGGATGCATCGGTCATAGCTCTCCTGGATTTGCTGAGTCGAGAGACAAACGATAATGTTCGTGGGACAATTGTACTTGCGCTTGCCATCTTGCTCATTCGGGCGGATGATGATTCAGAGAAAGGAAATGTCATTGAGAAGATCCAGGAGTCCTATGCGCCTTCACCAAACGGAGAAGCGGACGATATCTTCAAATGGTCTTGCGTGGCTGCACTCTTGGTATTAGGTTCAAAGGAAGATGGGTTAGTTGAAACGGTGCAGCGTGTACACGAGGATGAAGCGTACCTATCCAAGTTGGAGGCAAGCATTGATTCTAGTTCTTGGTTTCCGTTCGCTACATTAGGTCTACGGGAATTGGCCACTTCCATACTAGAGAGCCATCAAAAATAGTCAGGACGTCGTTGAGCTCAAGTTAAATACCAGGTAGTTATTCAATGCGGCCTGTTGAACACTAAAACTACAGCTTCTCTTGCAGCTTGCTCTCCGAATCAACATTGCCCTGTACTTGTGCCCGTCCACTTATTCTTCTGTCCACTCCAGTACTTCTTGCCAAGATCAGGATCAAGGAAAAGTCAGAAATCTGATAGTTACACACCTTCGAAGCTCCATACAAACAGGGTCAAAGCCTAGCTTCCTGTGTTTGGGGCGTCACAAACATCAGAGTCAGACAAGGTCTGTCCAGGCGCCGCAGCCATGTTCAGTTCATAAACCGACCCATCAGGCAACGTAATCGACTGCGAGAATGCCCTCCTCTCCGGATTCGACGAGCAAGCCATTGCAACCATCTGGGTCATCAGATCTACTTGACAGTAATCCAACGAACACTGTTCCACTGGAGGGGGGTTATCCGACTTCTTCTCAATAAGTTTGAAAATGCCCGTGACGACAAAATTCTGTCCACCTACGCCGGCAAAGTTTGCCCAGAATGGCCGGTTCAAGGTGTCCAGTACCTGGGGACCGTATTCTCTGACCTTGTTGAGAAGATACTGGCCGAGCTGATACAGAGGTGATCCAAGAACCTGTGCGGCGGCCTTGGCGCATGCTAATCCAGTGGCGCAGGCAGAAGAGATATCTCGGTTGAAGAGATTCACTTCAAGGGAAGGAGGAGGCTCATTGTTTTCTGAACGCTTAGCCAACCAGGCACCCTTGATGTGAACTACTGAGGGTTAGAATGGGAAGATACTAAGGGTCTTTGACCTACCAGTGTCATCCCAATCCTCAGGTGTAACGCCAGCAAACAAGCCGTCTGAAACTTCATGGTATCTATATATCTTGCCCAGAGATCTTCCATAGTTACCATGCTTGATTGGGTCAACGAAAGAACGTCTCTCAATCGATTCCAGGGGGCTAGAATGGACAAAGGCCGACATGAGAATGACAAGGGAAGCAGCATTGAGGTATCTCATGATAAGCATGATGAATAAATTTGGTTGTAAAGAGTTGAGTAAGGCTAGGAGTTGTAGGTAAAATGTCTGATGAAAACGATAAGTATCTTAAAAGACTTGAGATGAATGGCATTGAGGTTTTATAAAGATTCACCAAATAATAGTCTTTTCAATAAGCAGTCATGAAATACATGTTCAGAAAAGGTCCTGTGTAAGTCGTTCGGGACCGAACTAAATGATATACCCGAACTGATCGACATACATACGATGTAACCATGAATTTATGAGAGAACTTGTTCGGGACCGAAATAGACTACCGTTTCCGAACTGATCGGCATACACATATGATAACTAACCAATCCATATAATACGTTAGAACCCAAGATCATCGTGAGCTTCAACAAGTTCCATGACAACTGGCCTACGCTTGGATGTTTTACTTGGTTGCCTATTTGTCTACCTGCTAAACTGCGTTAGACTACATGATCGCTAAAGTTAATCAGGATTTTCCTGTGTGTTGGCTTCATATTTCTCGTTGAAACGTCATAAGCTTTAACCATATGGTCAAGCGTAAAGGCTGCGAACAAAGGTGATGAATGAGAACACGAGATGTATAGGTTTTAGGTATCAATCAGACTACATGACCACTATAGGATCCAATGGTTTCGAGCTTTCACTCTGCTCCTTGCGTATTAGACAAAAGACTCGCCAGAAAGCATAACGACTGTTGGATTCAATGACTCCTGTATTGCTCACCTCCACCCTGATGGTTTACTGCGCTTTGATGTTCTACCTTGTTTTATCCCGCAAGTAGAAACATGATTGTCGTGGGATTAATATTGGCTTTGCAGATTATGTGCGCTTTGACATTGCCTTGATTTTATGCCTCAGTAGTATACATAGTATACATAGTCAATGTAAGGTTTAGTAACTACTTCAAAGTGTATCTCAACTTGGGACGATTTATTCTGTTGCCTGGTGTAAGGTGCCTGATTACAGTGAAAGATCGTCAATTTAGAGTTCGTAGGATTCTGGGGTAAATATAAACTATACCTATGTAAGGCAGTGATGTTGTAGCAATGCCGATCCTACAATCTAATAGGTCAACTTTCTAAATGCCGGGCTATGATGTAAGTCGGCCCTAATAGTATGCCGTCTTGGCATTAATGGAACTTTTGCAAGCTTAGAGCCGATTACATACTGTCAAGTATTTCAGTTATAAACTAGTAATCTCGATGCTGAAATCTCTGGATGTTGTATAAAAGGCGTCGGCATAACCGTCGACTCAAGGGCTGTCCAAGTCACAGAGCACCACTTCTAACTCACTTGACAAAGCATACAGATTCACAATATCACTTCTATATCCATCTTTAGACTTAAACCCTTTCAAATTTCAACATGCAGTATAAGAGCATCCTTTCTCTTATTGCTTCCATCTCCCTCACCCAAGGATTTGTCATCCCCGAGGGTCTGAAAAATGGCATCTACTCCGTCAACAAAGACAAGAACGGCAATGAGCAGATCGAATATGTCTCTGACTTTGAGCATTCTACAAAGTCCAAGTATCGCCGTGTTCCTCTTCCAAGCGGAGAGATTGGGGTAAGTAATTTCTTGATCCGACAATTTACCAACTCAAGGCTTGACATATAAAATAGTGCACCGGCGCAGGGCTGGACTACAGCGACCTATCCGGAGCCCAGGTTCAGCTGTATAACTACTGCGGGTCCAGCGCCACTATGCCCTCGAAGCTCATGGTCTTTGTCCATGGCACAGCCAAGGCGTATATCTGTAACTACGCGGATGCGGGTAAGAATACTTGCGCTGACCACGAGGCTAAAGCGGCGTTTGCCTCGCTCTCTGGGAACTGCGGAAATCCATCTTCGCCACTTGGCGGCTGGTATGTTTCTCTAATGTCGAAAGATAGCATTCAGTTCTAACTATATTATAGGTATTTCTTGAAGGATTGGCAGAAAACTTATGGTTATGATGCTGCGGGTGCTGATGTTTGCGGTAATCTTTAAACTAAAGATTGGCTTACTTTCACGTTTGCTCGCTTCGGTTTGGCATATCTTAGGTTTTGTTGTGTGTTGCTTATTGAGTTACTTCTTGGAGACGCGGATGTCAGCCGCACGTTTTGATGTATATACATACTACATAAACTCCATGCCTCACTGCCATTAGCCTTGAGAAGCGCTACTGGAGGCCAAGAAGTGGCTTTCAGTCAAAAGAATTGCCCTGCAGTGTCAGATACTGGCTTGGCCAGATATATTAAATAAAGAGGTTATCTTAACTTATTAAAGGGCGACCTAAGCTTAGGATAGTTTACCTAGATCTCTTTGTCCCTTAGGACCAAGATCTTGTGTTTTATCGTGGCGCATCAGATAAGTGCAGAAAATGCGACCGCATCAGTCCGGCGACCCCTCAATAGCTACGCTTTTTACTTATACATGTTCACCTGTTCCTCCGTCCACTCCCAGTACTTTTTGCCAAGATCAGGATCAAGAAGATCTTTGCGGCATGGCTCGACCTTTCCAAAAGGAGACACTATCCACGGGATACAGTTAGTCATCCAAGTCGCAAATTATTGCCGTGTATTGTCTGTCATCTTAACTGACAAAAGACTTACCCCAACAGCCGTTTTCCTTCTCTGTGATGGTAGGAGAATGGCTTGCAAACAGTTGAGTATAGGCTCCGTTCTTGGGTGCGTGAGCGATAAGTTTCTGTGCGTCTAGCATCAGTATCCTGTCTCGACATCTACGAGTTGTCAACTTACGAAGATAGCAAGCTGCATCCTCGGCATATTCTGCTGTAGGTTGGTCACAAAGTTACCAGGATTCAGAGCCTGAAGACAAAAGTTAGTTCCAGGCATCTAACAAAAAAAGGATATGGAATCACGAACTATGCTGATGATGCCTTCACCGGCAGTCCTTCGAGCGAACTCGACAGAGTGCAAGACATTTCCAGCCTTACTCCTCGAATACTTCGGCCAGATCCCTTCTTCTTTGTGATAGTCCATGTTCGTGAAGTCGATAGCTGGGGTTGGAGCACCATCAGCAGCGCTAGAAGACACCCAAATGACACGAACAGAGTTCTTGGGGGCAATCTGGGCTGTAGCAGCAATAATAGGATGGAGGAAGTGAGTAAATAGGAACGGGGCGAGGTTGTTCACGCCAATTTGCAACTCGTAGCCTTGTACTGTCTTAGACCCCTGTGGAGGTACCATCACACCAGCGTTGTTATACAGGACATCGAGGCGGCTCTCCTGTGCGAGGAATTCTTGGGCCGAAGCCTTGATGGTAGTGAGGTCGTCGAGAACCAGCGGTAAGAATATCATGCTTCCGGTTGAATTTGGGTAAGCTGCCTGGATGTCTCTTATAACCTCCGCAGTCTTAGACTTGGAGCGAGCGGCCATGTAGATCTTGCCATTCTTCTGGTATAGAATTGAAGCAAGCTCTTTTCCCAAGCCTCCAGAAGCTCCGGTTATGAGAAAGACCTGATGAAATTATATTAGATAAAGTGCAGGTGTATGTCGAATCTATTAGCTTACCCTGCCTGCTTGGTCAGGGAGGTTCTTCTCTGTTAGAGTTGGCTTGTTGGGAATGATGGTGCTTCGACGGACACTCATGGTTCGTAGTCTTTTAGATGGTGTTTTTCGGTGGTCTAGTGGTCTCAGTGCTGATGACGTGGGTACTAATTAATGATGATGTAAGGGTTGATGAGTTTTGCGAATATCTTGATGGAAGTGTTCGGAGACTACTCGGGCAGGTCTCAATCTTATATAGGCGGCTCGTAGTCAATGGTCCAGATCAAAATGGGTGTCTGCCCTGAATTTCCATTGTATTATACCAATGCTGAGTAGGCGGCCGCAATGGAGCGCGTCGATCCTGACGGTCACTCACCCGCTCGAGAGCGCCACTTGCGATGATGCGGATTTTGCGGCCGCACTCCGCACTCCGCTGCAACACGTTTCTGAAAAGGCGACGAGAATTACGGCAAGAAATTGGCACGCTTTTTTCGTCTTCTTCTCATATCGGACTTGATTTTCGGAGATATTCTTACATTATTTATCTGGTTATCTGGAATGAGACTAAACTCCTCCCATTGTTACGTCGTCCTAGCCTCTACCCTTGCTGTGACGTCGTGAACCGTCAGCATCTCGCGATACGTACTACCAAGCCTCCATCTCGAGCTCATCGTATCCAGAAACACATCCAAGTCAGCAGCAGCCGTGCGGTAAACTTCATTCCCGCCTTCGCCAAGAAGCCAGTGGATTGTTGCCGCACCAGCATAGATAGAGTCCAAGATGAAAGGGCTCACGTTGGACATTAAGGATATTCCTACAGTTGTGAATGCTGGTAGCAGTTCCATACCCAGAGTGTGTAGCTGTTCGCTTGCCTGTTCGATAATACGCATGGATTGCCTCTGAAGCTCGATCTCATTCTGTGTCTTATCCCCGGGACTCTCTACATACCCAGGCTCTGCACTGATCTTCTCAGGGCAAGTAAAACGATCGAGGGTGACAAAGAGCGCCGATCGGGAGATACATCGAGGAGCGAGAAGGGTAAGGCCTTTCTCGGGACTGAGATCTGGAGTTTCATTATCCACGACTGTTGCAAAAGCTCCCAACTCTCCTACAAGAGACATGATTTCTTCGATACGAGAACTTGTCATGGCTGAGTTGTCTCGGGCGTAGTTTATGGCGCGTCCGAGATACATCGAGGCTTGACATAGTCTTGAGAATGGAGATTGCTGGACTTGATACGATATTGAGGTTGAGTGACTGACGGCCACATTTACCTCGCCGCGGTCCTACATGCGTGTCAGTCGCTATAGTGTAAAGGGTGTTGAAATTGTGTTGACTGACCCATGCGTCATCATCGACAGGCAGTTTACACTGCGGATGGGCATCAGGAAGTAAGCAACGCTTTCTGCTTCCCAGTGACACGAGCTTATCGAGGATGTAGATACTCCACCATACTCTCCTCCTCTCTTCAGCCTCTGTCCATGTTGTCTAAAGACATGTAAGTTTCTTTTCCCCTTCTTACTCCACGGCCCTTCTTAACACCGATTATACGTACCACTTGACCCAATGGAGAATAATCACCAGGAGTGATGCCCAGAATATCAGAGTAGCGCGCACACGACCCAATAGTCATCCAAGCTGCCGGATAGATCGCATGAGAATACTCATACAAAGCTACGAGGATCATAGCCTGAAGGCAGAGTAGTGATACAACACCATTGGTCTCCAGACTAGCGAGGAAGCTTTTGGCTGTATCGTACAAGCTTGAGTCGGTTATGTCGATAGCAGGAGTCGTCACAAGCTTCATTCCCAGGAACAGCATGGCGAGATCGGGGCCTGCATTTTGCACTGGTAGACCCATATCCATCCTCTTTTTTGATATCATAGGAAACCAGGTGTGAATCGTCGCAAAGTAATTCTGCGATACATCCAGAACGACGTTGCCTTGGCTGAGAAGAGCGAGGACGGGCTAGGAAGAGTTAGATCACTGGGCGACATATATAACAAGACAAGGAATCAGTTGCTTTAAGCCAGAAACAAGTGATGATTGGGTACTAGAGGTAGCATACCGCAGGAATGACGCCGCTGGGAGCAGGCAGCCTGGCATGAGACCATACATAACAGTCAACATCGAGAAACATAGATGCCGGAAAACTCGTCTCCGATACTAAACCAGAAAGTTCGACAGTGGAGTACGCAGGCGTAAACCCGATGGATTGAGACGATGAATTGATGCTATTCGACTCGATGCTGTGCGCATCGATGGAGTCGTAGAATGTCGCGCCTGGCGTTGATCCCTGTTCCAACAATGGGCCTGAGATTGGGCTCAAGATATGCTGCTCCGTAGCTTTCGGAGAATTGGCCAGACGATTCTCAAGCTCACTGAGACGCGTTTGCATCATACTCCAGTCACTAGCAGTTGGCTGGAACTCGGTCGCGATGCCATACTCGCAAAGGCGTTGAGTCCGCTTGCATAAGCTACACTCTGGAAGAGCTTTGTCGCAACGCCGCTTCTGTTTTTTGCAGGCTTTGCAGGCTTGCTCACTGCGGTTTGCCATGTCTCAATTTTCGTTGTGTATTACTCATTCAATTGATTGATCGAGATGCGGATGTTAGCCGCACATTAAAGATAAGCAATAATCGCGAGTCACTCACTACGTAACTCCATGCTTTTACCGCTGTCGGACTTGAAAGGCGGAGATGAGTGCGGAAAATGCGGCCGCATCAGTGGGGCTAACTCAACCCGTCTAGCCCGTCAATCGGTCACTTCCGTCTGTACTCCCCTTGGGGAGCAAGAAAACGTTTAGGATAACAAAATAAACTCCTATAGAAAATATCCTAAACTCATCCTAAAATTTTACCAAGTTACCTAAATCTTTTTATCAGTTAGGCTTAAAGTCTCGAGTTTTATTTCCTCCCCTAGACTCCGTAGCTGCTACCAGTACCAGATAAACAACTGTGGCTCCCTTACAGCGTAAAATGTAATCAATGTGCTAGAGTCTTTTGCGGACAGACTGATCTGAGCTGCTTGACAAATGCAACAATGTCGCGCTGTTCTGTGGCCATGCTGACCCTTGAACATCCTCCCTTTAGAGAGCATTCATCATCCGTATCTTGTGGCAGGATTGAGAAAAGAGACGCCACAACTCGATCGTTCTATAAATAAATAGAGGCTTCGCAAGTTCACTTATTACATTCTTGCTTGATCGCGTGGCGCCGGAGAAGCCGCAAAGTCAACTTCGTTGTCTGGAATGCTAGCAAGCTCAATTAAAGTGTCTACCCTACAGCAAGCGAATATGCCTTCAATTGCACTTTTTCCTAACTTGTTATGCTCTCTTCTCCAGCGAATGATCTGTCTTTAGTTGCCACTTGTGAGTAAAATTGTGTTCTTAGTAAAAGGTTCATGAGTCTCGAGATATTTGCATGATATGTTGATCTTGTGACGTTGCTGCTTGCCGCCATTGGGTGAAGATGTCACACAGCGGAAATTTACACTCTTAAGCTAAAACATAAAGTTATCTCGCATGACAACATCACGGGCGAAAGCTCAATCAATTCCATCGCATAAAATTCTCCTAAATAATTGCCACATTTCTAGACAATGCTGGCCGATGGAAGACCACAACCTCAATCTCGATCTGTTACTGATCATCAATTGAAAACACAATTATACGATGATCTTCCATGATCCTCAGTCCACAGCAGCGATCGCAATTACATCATCACCAAGCTCCAGTGCCGAAGCAATGCACGTGGGGTCGAGCTTTGGTCTCGTACCGCTAAGATTATCTCAACAAACACGAGCATGACCTTCACCGACACTGCTTTACGAGATCCCCTAAGACAAATATCGCAGTGAGGTGAAATGCAGGGGCAAGGGACAAACAATAGTTCCTGTTGATCCGCTCGTATTGCCAGAAGCTCGTAACTGCTTCGGGCACCAAATGCGCAGGGGTATAAATCTAAGAATAAATCACGCGCTGATTCGCGGGAAAAGCATCCCACTAAACTTGTACCGGTTAAAGCTTCGCCATAGCTCTCGGGGTTCCCCAGGTCTCGAAGGGGCTGGGCGGAAAAATAAGACGGGAAATCGGCAGATGGTGTCACTCGCAGAAATGCCTGGACTTTTCTGTCATGCCATGGACTGGGGGTTCTAGAATGTGAGGCTGGGCCTAAGCCTGGATCAAACGTTACCGTCAACTGATCAGCTTGTAGTATCGGCTAGAGCGAACATCAGAGCTCAAGACTATGGAGCCGATGATCCGAGAATTATGAAGTCATGAGTCTATTAATACCTTTTTGCTCTTTTGCGAGATCTATAAAGACTCACTGATCAACCTGCGATAATCAACATTCTCATCATCAATCATCTCATCTCATCTTCTCTACAAACACTCTACACTCACAATAACCAACTCTTCACATAACCAAACAAACCACTCTTCCCACTTACAACTCTTCCACTTTCAACCATCAAAATGAAGTTCACCGCCGCTCTCATCGCTCTCGTCTCCGCCACCGGCGCAGTCGCAGCCCCTGCCCCCGCCGACTCAGTCTCCATGATGGCCGCCTCTCCCCAGTGGACAATCCAGTCCCTGTCCCGCTCATGCGACAAGGCTGACACCACCTGCACCTGGAACTTCAAGATCAACACTGGCAGCGGCGCCGCCACCGCCTGCAAGTACGTCGTCAAGGGCAAGCCCGCCTCCAAGGCCAACGGCGGCCCTGCCAAGTGCGGCACCTTCACCATCACCTCTGGCTGGAGCGGTCAGTTCGGTGCCGACAAGGGCTTCACCACTCTCTCGGTCGTCAGCAGCAAGAAGCAGATCATCTACCCCAGCTACACTGATAAGCAGCTTGCTGGTGGCAAGGTCGTCAAGCCTGACCAGAGCTACTCCCCCGCTGCTCTCCCTTAAGCGGTTATGAGATTCACGACTTAGAAGGAGGATATGATTTGGAGGATGAGCGATAGTAATGTTAATACTTAGAGGGTGGATTAGAAGCACATATATCAATCAGTATAGACTAAACAATCTGTTACACACCACTTTATGACCATCCAATCTCGGTGACCTCAATGACTCAACTTTCCGCTACATGTCGCAAGCTGCGGCTCAAAGTGTACAGGTAATCGCATCTTTGCCGAATCATGCAGACAAATCCCCGATAAGCCTTCGGCAATACCCGCCGATCGCCAAGCAATCACATCAGATGCGGGGTCACATCAAAAAGGGCGCAAGGCGGGAGAAACGTGGACACCAAGATCTTATCAGATCAATCTAACTCACACCATCACCAGATTGCGTTAACTGAAGCGCTTGACTTTTTCCATTCGCAATGGTCTTTTACCCGCCATCATGGGTGCCAGACCTGCCCATTGGTACCTCAAGACCTGTCTCACTCTCAAGACTTCGCTAATTTGTTCAGATCCTCCGAACTCCATCAGCGTCCCCGAGTTCATGAGCTCGGAAGAGTATGGCCGGTATTCCATTGTGAAAGCGCGACGACCATACACCTGTGGACTTACTGGAAAGACGCGTACCGCTGAAGAGGTTATTCGTAGAGAGGATCTCCTTGCTCGGGGTATCGGCAAAGCTCTACAGTTTGACTCGCAATCCGGGTCGGAATGGGATCGCGTCTGCGTCATATTCTCTCTCAATACGGTAAGATGACTGATTAATAAAAATGCTGAATAATTTGGGCTTACTCAGAGACAGATTGACTACATACCCCTCACACATTCCATTCATCGCCTCAATGGTATCGCCAGTCTGAGCAGCGCAGCCCTGTCGGCGTCGGAGTTGGAACATCAGCTCCGAGCCTCACGCGCAAAAGCAATTTTTACTTGTGTGCCCCTTCTGGATACTGCACTCAAAGCTACAGAGGCAGTTGGTATCTCACGAGAAAATGTGTTTCTTCTTCCAGTGCCTGGCGACTCCAGCAGGCACGGATTCAAGACAATCGATGACCTGATTCAGGACGGAGAGAAATTGCCACCGTTACCGCCGCTACAATGGACGAAGGGACGAGGCGCTCGACAAACGGCTTATCTGCTGTATTCAAGCGGAACTTCTGGTTTACCTGTAGGACTCACGCCCTTGGGAGGTATCCTTCGCTAACTGTTTGGAAGAAACCGGTCATGCTCTCGCACTACAACATCATATCCGGCATCATACAAACATGCACATTCGACTCGGTCTCTCGAAAAGCCGATGGTGTCGACACGCAAGTGATGCTCGGAGTCTTGCCATTCAGTCATGTCTTTGGGCTAATGCTTATCACTCATCTGGGGACATACCGCGGCGACGAGATCATTGTCATGCCTCGCTTTGAGTTTGAGCCCTTCTTGGCTGCAGTCAGTCGCTTCAAGATACACCAGCTTCCAATTGTACCGCCGATCGTGATACAAATGCTTGACAGAAGAGAATTGTGCAGCAAGTATGATTTGAGCAGCGTCAGGTTTGTGTATACAGGCGCTGCACCGCTTGGAAAAGAAACGGTTGATGATCTGTTGAGTCTGTACCCGATGTGGCGCCTTGGTCAAGGATATGGTAAGATACCTGATCTAATTGTGTCTAGAGTAGCTGCTGACACGCGAACAGGAATGACAGAGACGGCGACTGTCTTTATACAAAGCAGCGAGCATGATACGCAAGTTGGCACAACAGGATCATTACTTCCAGCAGCCAAGGCCAGGATCGTCGACCCAGACGGTAAAGAGATTACGGAATATGAAAAGCCAGGTGAACTGCTGATTCAGAGTCCAACGGTGTCACTTGGCTACTTTAACAATCCAAAGGCCACCGCCGAGACTTTCTTTGAGGATACAGACGGTCGCTGGATACGAACAGGGGATGAGGTGCTGGTTCGCATGTCTGAGAGCGGCAATGAGCATTTTGTCGTTGTTGATCGAGTCAAGGAGCTTATCAAAGTCAAGGTTCGAGACCGTTGTAACGTGTGCGCTTACTTAGACCCGTCACTGACTATAAGAGTAGGGCCATCAAGTCGCGCCGGCAGAGCTTGAGTCACATCTTCTCACCCATCCCGATGTGAGTGACTGCGCAGTCATCCAGATTCCCGATGCACGAGCTGGTGAAGTTCCGAAAGCATTCGTGGTCAAAGCAGAACAGGCAAATAAGTCTGATGAAGACATTGCGAGGGATATCCAGCGATATGTTGAGGAGCATAAAGCTAGGTATAAGTGGCTGAAGGGCGGTGTTGAGTTTATTGATGTGATACCGAAAAGCCCGACTGGGAAGATCTTGAGACGAATGCTGAGGGATAGGGAGAGGGAGGCTAGGAAATCGAGAGGAGCAAAGTTGTGAGGTCGCTGACATGCTCCGAGAGAACATTCAAGCATAGATAGAACGACTTATACTTCGGATTATCGACGAATGGATTTTCATTACATTGTATCGTAAAACATCAAGGCAGTTACATAACTTGAGAACATTTCACCTCAGCAACAATAAGACGCAAACAACTACAGCGCAGCCTCAATCTACAGCTCCTCGGTTCCCTCAGTCTCCTCATCTCCTCCAGCCTTGACCTCCTTCTCAGCACCTTGCTTAGAAGACCTCTGAGCGTGCACCTCAACAGTGATGTGGTCACCAATCTGCACCTTGCCACCATACCCAAAGGTATACCTTGCACCATCAGCCGCCTGCTTCCCCTTACCCCAGTTGCTAAAGTCAACAAGGGCATCTACTCCCGTTAGCTCAAAACCTTTCACACCCTGTAATCAAACTTACCTTCACATGCATCCTTGCCGAGCTCAACTTGGCTTCCCGCAAACAAAGGCGCCAACCACGTAACAACACCCGGCGCAAAGAACGCACTCCCGTTAATCTCAGCGATGAACTTGCGCTCCATCTGCTTACCCTCCTTGACTAGCTCCTCATGATACTTGCGCACCGCCCAAGGCAGCTTCTTGTAATCCATGCGCATAACCCTGAACCCATCGGGATGCATGAAGCGATCGAAGTCACCAGGGTACGGAAGATCACGACCGTCATCTGTCTTCCAGTGATTGTCGAGGAACTCCATCGCCCAGGCAATTTCCTTAGGTGCGCGCGAGGGATCTCTAACGGTGTAGATCTCAGCTTCGAATTGGGAGCTTACGCGACAATCTGTTTTCCATAGATTCTTTTCGTGCGTGGCGTCTGCGTTGCGGATTTGATCCATTAATGCGTGGGCTTTGGCTGTGTTGCCGTTGACTTGGGCTTCAGCTGCCTGGCGCATTATATCGAGTCTGGCGGTGTCGCCGATCTGGATGTCGATGAGCTGCGCCGTCGCCTGCGAGGCGAGGACGGAGAGGATCGCGGTAGTTGGCTTCATTGTTGCTGGTGGTGAGATTGTGAATGGAAGCGGTGACAGGCTGACAAGGCTGGGTGTGAATATTTATCGCAACGTCGCTCGGCCATTTCCAGATGGAGAAATTACCGGTTCAACCGGTGAACCAATGATTTATAGTGGGATTAGCTGTTGGTGCCCCGGAGCGGGTTATTGATTTTACTGTTTGATAAGGCTGACACGGACGGCGCTTAGCTCGAATTGAGGTGGCACAGCTCACGATAAGTGTAAGATCAATCCACGCAGTTATGGTAGCACTAATGCTAGGCAGTAGTGCCCATGCACGGCCTGAGTCATAGAATGCTCTTGTAATTTAATCACAAAAGACAGGAAACTCGGACGGTTCGTCCATCATCCTCCAAACATTCATCTCAAACCTCAACATGTCTGATCAATCACCTTGCGCGATTCTTTCAGAGTCCATCGACATTCCCCGCATCACGTCTACAAATCAAGAGTCAACACTCAATTACTACGGTCCTGTTAGTGGCTCACTTGCTACTGAGGCAGCAAAATTTCTCGCCTGCCATACTGACGCAGTAGAGCAGGAGTTAGAACCAAAAATCAAGGCGTTTCTTGGGATCACGCAAGCCGACTGTTCGGGAGGCGCCGAAGAGAAAAATGCTTGCTGGCTCACCATCCGCATCACAAAGCCTTGCACCGCATACAAAATCCCGCGGTGGCACCAAGATGGTCCTATGTTTGAGTACGACAAAGGACGCGAAGATGTCGTGAGAAGCAAGTATGCGCTTACGTTACTCGGGCCATCCACGCTCATGCTGCAGCCAGACGAACATGTCTTCAAGACGCAGCATGAAGCGGAGGCGCGGTATGACTGGTGGCAGAATAAAGCCAATGGTCCTGAGCCCTCTGAGGACGAGATGTACGACGCAGACGATCTATTGCGGGACTCGCTTGGCAATGCATTCAAAAACGCTCCCAGAGTTCAGGTTGGCCATGGTCAAATCGTGCGGTTTAGCTGGGGACGAGATGACAGCCCTGTGCATTCAGAGCCGGATCTTGTTTCTGATAGGGTATTTATGACAGTGCTGTATGGAAGTGACTCGGAGTTGCGAACGATGAGTAAGTGGCGAGACGCACCGTATGGAGAGTATTCTGTCGAGTAGTTTTCTCTCTTCAAGTGGTTTCTCAATCATAGTCTGTCGTTACAGATCGTCCAAGAATTATGAGAAGGAAGCGGAGGGGTCTCTTATTTCCTAAGATCTGGCCTTGATGAACTGTTATTATCTGGCTTCAGCTTACGTATGAAAATTAAATGACGCGTCTCAAGAGGCTCTGAGTGCTTATTGAGGAACTTGGAATCCTTCTATCTCGGGGCGTAAGCATGACCAGAATGCCAAGGTTATATATAAGGCGGGGCTGCTGCCTAAGAATATTCTCATACGATCGTCACATAAAACCGATTTACTTGAGACTGAGGAACGTTTTGCTTCACTGAACTCACTCGAACGTGGAGTCGGACAATATGAGTTTCCATTCAATGCCCGTGGAGCTTGCCGAACATCTCGCGCTCTATTGCCAGCCCCAAGACCTCTCGCGCCTGTCTCGCGTCAACCACACGTTTCACACTATCTTCAACCCAGTCCTCTACAAGCGCAACGCCGCTGCCACCGGTCTACCGCCCTGGTATACATGGACCCACGAACACGATCCGCCGCATTGTTGGACATGCCCCGCCGAAAAGGCCTTTAGGTCATGTCTTCACTGGGCCGTATTTCACGATTCACTCTCTACGATCAAGCTGGGTGTTGCTTATGGCTCCGATGTCAACAAGATCAACGACGTTGCTGATTTCATCCCTTATGAGGAAGACCCTGAGTCTATTCCCATTTGTGGACCTATCAAACGGGTGCAGCTTGCAACGCCACTACATCTTGCTATCTTTCTGAAACGCTTCGAGATCGTGCGATGGCTTCTTGATAATGGTGCTAGCACGGATTAAACACTGCAAAGACCAGGACGTAGCCTGTGCGATCGTCGAGAAGCTAGCACAATGGGGCGTTCCTCTTGATGCGGAAGCTGAATCTCAGTGGGGAGATTGGCACGGAGGCACGGCGTTGAACATGCTCATCGGAAGGAGAAAGTTTGAGCCTGCCCTTAAACTTCTGCAGCTTGGAGCCGATCCAACAGTACAGCAGGATGAAGATGGGGGCCTGCGATTGTTGAGTAACTGTATCAACGATCGCGACAGAGAAGACATGTCCAACTGCTCGCCAGAACGCGCAGAGAGGAAGAGAGAGGCCGGGTTGGAATTACTGAGTCTCCTGATCCAAAAGGGAATTGATCCAGGCAAACCCCATAAACTGGACAGACCGTACGATCTATATGCTCTCGATGATCCAAGGCCATTGTTATCAGCACTTCTAATGTCTGACGCGCGATGCATGGAAATTCTCCTCGATGCCGGAGCAATGGCCCGCGAAGCAATCTACGAGAACAATCATGATAATCTTCTGCGAGACTTTGTCGAAATGATGGCCGATGCTGTTGAGGAGGGTATATCTCTTCGAGAAATGAGAGATGAAGTCGAATCGCGGAAAGAGTCAGTATGTCTATTACTTAACGGAGTGGCGCGAATAGACTCAAGAGATGGTGAATACTCGGCATTGAGTAAAGCGTGTGATATTAAGCAGGGGTTCGGTATAGTCGACTTTCTGGCTGAGAATGCGACTTGTAGGAATGTGGAGGTGGAATATGTCGCTAGTTTAAGGGAAATATATAAGCGGGATGAAGTTGTCTGGGAGAAATTGGACAGGTTCCATCAGAAGTTGATGGCCGAGAAGAACGATCGAGAAGGAATCCAGGACATCAAGAACTCAGAATGAAAGGGCGATAGCTATATGACCAATCGACCTTGGGTCTTGGCTTCGCCGACAAGTTGAACACAATATATGATACATTAATGTTCTTATGAGCACTCTAATCTGATGTTGATATCAACCACTTGCGGCTCTAATCCCCATGCAGTATTGAGCTGGGGCGCAAGCATATGAACACCAAAACCATAACGGAAAAGCCCCTCATTAAGACCATAAAATACTTCAAGCATAACGCTCTGCTCTAACTATTCTTATGAGAATAAATATGCCTACAGTTCTCGATCGGACCAAAGCTCCCTACGTCCATACAAGAAGCATATTTACAAGCATCCGTCACTAAAGCCTTAGCCGCAAAGTCCCTGAAATTAGGTCCTCCCACTATTCTGATTCAGCCTTAGCAGGCCGTAGGGAGTATGAAAAAATAAGACTTTAGAAGAGAATGCTAAAATAAACTCAGTAAAGACTCCCATTGATTTTGACTAAATTAACTAAGCCTTTTTATCACTTAGGACAAATGTCTTATGTTTCTTTGACTCCCCTGTCATGTTAGCTAGCGCCAGGGGCTCTGTAAGGTTATCGATTTTTAGGCTCGATAGCGCTGAAAGCTATTGAGCCCCGAACGTTCCAAGGGTCCACCAATAACGCCCAAAAACACCAAAATCCACTTGGAAATGTCACGATGAGAGAAAGCGATGCAGCTTATTCCGCTTTGTCTCTTTACCACCGAGAACTTAGTGGGAAGACTGCAGTAGCTGTGTGCTAGTTACCGGCTGAACCACGAAGCTATTGAGAAATATCCGAGCGGTCTTTGCCGTAGCTAAATGAGTTTGCGCCTCGTAGTTTTGACAATGGCCTTGCCCTATAATACCGACTACCCTCCCAATTTCCCATGATCTCGACATTTTGTCTGTCCCTCTTTTGCGCTTATCCAGTCATTCATTTACGATGCGTTCCATCCTCGCATTAGCGGCCCTTGCTGCCGTCGACCTCGTCGCCGGAAGCGCCTGCAAGCCCAAATCCAGCACCACGATCCCCTCACTCATTTCATCCTCCACCGACGCCACCAGCTCATCGACCGCTACAACGGTCGTCACCCTCCCTAAAGTGCGCAACTTAGCCACCAATGGAAACATGGCCGAGATCGACCCCAACAACCCTCTCTCTGTCCCCGACTGGGAGGTTGACGGCGATGCTCGTATCGTCGGAGGCGCTGGACGTGAAGAGCCTGGAAGCACTGAACGAGGCTGCGCTGCTATGAGTGCTTCCAATACTGGCGATGGAAAGCGTGCTATGGGTATTTCTGTTAGTATCTCGCAGAGCATGTCCAACCTGAATCTGGCGACGCCTTATACCATTCGCTTTTACTACCTCGTCGTTACATCGCCTGCGGCCATCAACCTCTGTCAATTGACTGGTTTCCTTGGCGGTTCCGTCTTCTATCAGAACTGGGTCTTCAGCAGTGGTACAGCCGTGTCTTGGAACGAGGTTCTCCAGGCCGTTACCCCGGCACAGGTCAATGCTCCTCTTCGTATCGCGATGAACTGTCTGATGGGTGGTGGAGCGACTGTCCTTGTCGACTCGGTCTTCATCTCGAACGCTGTCACGCCACAGAACATCAACAACTTTGCTGTCAACTTTGGCAACACCGGTGCGGGTGCCAATCCTCCTCTCGACCCTCCTGTCGTCGGTCCTCAGACAACCACCAGCTCTTCGTCGCAAAAGATTACATCGACTACTCAACAAGTAGAGACCACATCCGTCCCCCAAGATCAAGAGACCACTTCTGTTCCTCAATTCCTGGAGACCGAATCCCTCTCCCAGAGGCAGGGTACAACTTCTGTTGCCCAACAGCAAGAGACGACAACGGGCTCCCAAGACCCAGAGAAGCCAGAGACTACGTTTACTGCCCCGGTTCAACATACTGAGACGGGGACAACTAGTCAACAGAACCAGGTTACTTCAACCCAGGCAGCTTCACAACAGACCTCGACTGGTAAGCCCGATGCCGAGACTACCAGCAAGCCTCCTTCGGACGTTCAGTCCTCAACTGTCCCTGTAGTAGGCACAACCAGCACAGCGCCTGAGCAACCGTTCTGCTCGAAGGCTCTCAACGGAGGCTGTTGGTGGAAGCGCCCCGACAACGGCAACGACATGGTCAACTGCGCTAGCCGAGGTTCTTGGCCTGGATCCACTGGCCAAGGCCATCTCGTCCCTCGTCCGGATAACTACCCTCTGCCCTTGAGTCAGCTTTGGTGTTTGGGTTGGTGCTCACTCTCACCTGGCTGCAAATCCGTTGCGTTCATCCCTGAGGATCGCAGTTGTCGCTTCTCGGAGCATCAAGTGCAGGATGCTGATTTCGTTCCTGGCCCTGATCCCAACCTCGACACCGAGGGCGTGTTTTACTGGCATGATCTTTCTTGCTTTAACTGCCCTTGTAACGATGAGCCCTCTCCTACCTCTGTTGCATCAACCACTCAGTCTGCTGAACCTACTGGTCTTGTCAAGTTACCCGCTGCGTCAACTTGCCCCAAGTCCCTCGAGAATGGATGCCGATGGAACGAGAGGTCTAATGGCGGCGGTCTCGTCACTTGTCAGTATCGTGGTAGATGGCCGGGAAGTGATGGCGCTGGCTTTGCTGTTGAGCAACCGCGTGACTATCCTACGGCCTGGAGTCAAATGTGGTGTGTTGCCTGGTGTTCGCTCTACCCCGGTTGCAAGTCTGCAGCCTGGATGCCAAATGACCGATCGTGCCGTTTCTCCACCCATTCACTCTCTGACGCTGACTTCGAAATGGCTGCTGATCCCAACTCGGATTCCGTAGAGGATGGTATCTACTACTGGCATAGCCTCGACTGCATGGCCTGCCCTTGTCACGACGATCCTACCACCTCTATCCTCCCTTCAGAATCGACCACTCTTGTCCGCGCCGTAACACCTAAGCCAAACACCCCAACAACCGTCACAGCTACCACCAAGGCTGTCACAGGAACCCCAACTCCTGGTCCCGCAGAGCAGCCCTGTGAATGGGAGAATGGCCAGGGAATCTGCTATAGACCCTTCGAGAAGGAGCAGGGACCTTGTGGTGGAAAGCTCATGATAGTGAACCCATCGCAGTACAAAAAGCTGCCACTGAACTGGAAGCCCGAGATTACAGAACCTGTCCAGTGTGCGATCATGTGCCATACCAACCCCGATTGTTACGCGTGGGGTTTTGAATGGAGCAGCAACATGAACTGTGTTCTTTCTCTTGGACGGACTGAAGTTGATCAACTGCAGGTTGTTTCTTCAGGAGCTCAGTATCGCTGGTACTCTCATACGTGCTGGGAGTGTCGGGATTGTGTTACTCGGTGGAACTGGTCTTGGGATTCCTTGCCTGCTGGAAACTAAAAAGCGTAGACTATGCACATCTGTCTAAGCAAAAAATGCCGACTTACTCTTAATATTAATGTTATCGACCTATTCAGTGTCCTGTTGTAGTTACCATACTCGCTGTGTGAACATGTCAGGAGTACTAGTGATGAGAGTTTGTACCTGCAGGTTCGTGATTCATTCCCTCGCAGTCTCTTACACCGTTGCATTCAAACTGATTGACTTAGGGGGATGACGCTTTGTCGCGTCATGCTTCGCGAAATTCATGAGAAGAAGCGCATCGATAGGATCCGTGTACCACTGATATCAGCTACAAGCAACATATCTGTAACTCATTCACAGCGATTCCACAAGTATATAAACCGTACAAGGGCCTCGGTAGAGAACAGTACCCCAAATCGAAACCTTTGTCTTTCGGACACGACGACGCTACCAACCCTTTTCCTCAAACTGCAAACAAAATGTCTTTCTCGAACATGACCAAACAGGTGCTGAAGCCAGCTCCTCCAGCCAAAGAGAAATCTGGTCCTGTAGAGAACAATACAAATACCACATCAGCTACTACGACCAGTAAGAAAGACAATGCGCAAGTGCCAGGGATGGAATGCCCTTGTAAGTGCGGATGCGATGAGTTGAACATCACATTCAAGGCCCATGATACGCACTGAGTTATGCAAAGATGTGCTTGGTGACCGCGAAGTTGAATGTTAGGCAGCTAAGATACACAATACAAACAAAGCATCTCTTCAAGGGGCAAAGTTTTACCTACAAGCGTCTGTAATGGTACTGAATCACAGAACTCAATGCGTATTGATTTGCAACTTGCTTGGACAGGAACCGCAATCAAGGTTGACTCCGATTGTGGCCTGTGTGTAGCTGAAGATGGGAACTTGGCGTTCATGATAGCAAGATTGATATGATAGATTGCATGTATCCTGGCTGCATTGTTGTAGCCCATGATTCACTTGGCCCGCCATCTAGCTTCAGGCGCTGGGTTAAGGTCAAGCTTCACATCAATTTCCTGATCAAGCAACCTTTCTCTGTCAGTGCCCCGGTCTCATCAAACGCTCATGTTTTCACTTACTCAATTGTCCAGTATCTCTCATACACAGCCTCGTCAGAACTATAAATACCTTCCGTGCCATCTTCTCTTCAACTTCTTCTCCTTGCATTTCCAACCATTCTATATACATTTAACTAGCATATTCCTCAAAAACAAAATGACTTCCTCAACCACGAACCCAGGCTCCAAGGCTCCCAAGAAGAGTAACAAGAAAAGTGATGTTTCTACCACCAAGCCAGAGACTGCAACGAAGGCTACAGTCCCTGCGCAGGATACCAAGAGGCAGAGAAAAGAGGGCGCAGCCAACCCGGTCTCTACCTTTGCTGCTGGGGTATGTTATTGTCGATGTGGCTGCTCGTCGCCAATGATTGAATATGGTAGATGCGAGACATGTGTGGCATACTGCGAGATTGGATCCTAGGAAGCTGTATGATAGCACATAGGAAGGAGAGTAAAATAAGAGTTTAGATTTCAAAACTATCTGATAATGGCTAATTGAAATTGACAGCATGCTGCTTTGCAAGTATACTTGTTGCCTGAGTTTACCTCTGGCTGTATGCCAATCGTGATATGTAAAAAAAAGTGACAAGTGAGTATGATTTAAAAAGTAACGTCGACCACGCCAGGAGTCGAACCTGGAATCTCTAGAGATTTCTCGATTTGCTCGAAAGCCGAAATCTAGCGCCTTAGCCATTAGGCCACGCGGCCCGATTGTTATATGACGATGGCCGCACTCTGAGGACCCATACGCTTCGACGGTGTGAAAATTCGACGCCTGATCATGAAATTTCTGTCTTTTCACTAGAAGTTCTATCGAGTATACATTTAGTGGTAGTATAGAAAGATCAAATCGGGAGTGGTGATGTGAGGGGCTCTACAGCAGGTCCGTTCTGATCTCGACTGCAAATATACGGTAAGCAGGATACAGATACTCTAAGACTTCAGTGCAGCTTCAAAATCGTTCAGAAACTTCCAGAACGTCTTCTCTTTCCAGCCCTTTTCCTTCCAATCATTCGCTTGCTTTGGGAACATATCGATAACGCCAAACATAGTGGTATCATGGGCAAACACGAAGAAGACATTGTCCTGAGCATCTGCTGTCTGCGCCTCTGTGATCGTCTTTATCGCTAGTTCCTTATCAAACCCAATTGCTGGGTCAAAGAATGTTTCCCCAGCGGCCCGTCCACGCTCGACATTCATGTCATCGAAAGCACTTCCAGGACATTGTGAGAGGTGAAGACGGAGAGAATCTGAGAGGGATAGATGCTCTGAGAGATTTGATGGGTATGGTAGGTACTTCGATGGACGTAACTCTCCTCCATGATGGCATAGGTCGCCTCCCATGAAGATGAAGGTATCTGGACCAGTAGTTGTACGAGCAAGACCTGCTAAATGACCAATGTCGTGGCCTGGCGTATCAAGAAGATAGAATGACCCATCGCCGAAGAAGTCAAAGGCTCGAAATGGGCCAATCTGCAGAGGTTTGTGTTCGAAGTCGATCTCTCTCAGGTCTCTGCCCCTGCGAGGCTGTCAGTTACTTCGGAGATAGGATCATGACGGCGATACCCACTCGAAGTCTGCTTCACGCACTGGAGAGTCTAGGTCAGCGGGATATCCGGGTAAAAAGGCTTTCCTGAACCCTGGGCCAACAACAAGATCCGTTGACCCAGGAAAGGTTGTCATGTCTCCAATATGGTCAAAATGGTGATGACTGGGCCAACATCAGTAACTGCCTCACCGCGCAGATATTCCGTACTACGAACCTCCATATCACGCTATCAATCTCCGATGGCGGCACGTCATTCTCAGCAAGAATGTCTGCAACATTCTTCGAAACATGCACGTCCCAATTCGAATTTCTTCTTATCGTGTCAGCATACTTTGGCGAGAAATTCTTCAACGGCTCCTTCGGAACGCCTAGATCAAAGAGTGCTTTCTTCCCTGAAGGACTTTCAATAAGAAACGACCATGTTGTCAGTGTTGGCATCGCATCGAGTCCTTTCATTGCAGGTTTCATAAGATGAGTGAGTGGCATGCCCGACAGTCTCAAGCTGGAGTCGATGATGCTGACTTTGGAGGCTTTGCCGTCTGGCACGTCGAATCGCGGTCGTTCAGCCATTCTTGAGAATTGATTTGACAAGCGAAGTTTGGTGTAGCTTTCAAGGTTGCTGAGGAGAGTGTATTGCGATGGCCTTTATACTAACGATCGGATGACGGGTAATAAGGTTAGAACGGGAGACACTGCTTACAAATTGCGACGTCATAGGCGGCTTACTCAGGCGAGACGAGCCTTGTCCGCTTTTGTAATCATTCTCTACATTTCAGTAGATCATATCATGATATATGAAGCAAGTTGAGCCTTTATAATCGATTCAAATATAAATAGGGCTGTCGCGCAATTTTCGCTTCTCGGTTTCACAGACTCTTTGGAATCGCATCTCAGGCTAAAACTGCCGAACTCCACTTGCACACAGCACACCCAACTCTCAATCAAATGCCACTACCTCTGATCGATGTCTAAGTTGTGGGCTNNCAGCAGAGAGAACCTAGTTGACTCGACTAAAAATGTCAGCGGGGATGTCATCGCTTGACAGGTAAGCTCTTCGCCAAGAATTGCTGTCATAGGATCAAAAAGCTCAGCTGAAACGTAAAATGAAAGAAATGACCCGAAACAGTAAGCATATCTTCGCCAAAATCTCACCAACTCCACAACAGCTGTGACCTCAAGACGCAAGTTGCGGCTAAACGAAGAATCTTGAAGATTTGGTAATGTTGAGTCAGAGAGGCACAGCTCTTTATGCTATCTATGCTTAAAGTTAGGGCGTCGCTGACATGCAGGCCATACTCTTGACCATGTCATGTCCAGTTCAGCCCTACGCTCATGAGCGTGGGTATTTAGACGCTGATAGACCTTTTATTCCCTCATGCCGACTCTTGGTGTTCCAAATGCCTCCCGCGACGAGCTACCATGGATGACTTGAAGCGCATACTGCTGTTTACTAATAGTGACCTCGGTCAAGCCAACGTAGTCCTCGCTACAGCTCACGAGCTCGGTCTGGCCTGCGAACATGTCGAAATCCATATCGCTTCATTCCCAGACTTGAGAAGTGGAGTGGATGATGCCTCAAAATTCATGCAAGTAACTGCAACCCAACAGAAGAAGAAAGTTCCCCGACCCTTTGTGTTTCACGAGATCGAAGGAACAAGCTGGGGACCGGCTACCAAGCGTCCAGAAACGGCAATCTTCGAAACGCTCGAGCTGACACCTGGACTCGTGAACTCAGCAAAAGGCGTCGCTATTCTCCAGGCTGTCATGATACCCTGGAGCCCGGGGGTGTTTCTTGATATCTACAAGGAAACGGAACGAGTTTTTGATGAGGTCAAGCCTGATCTGACTATCGTTGAGCCGCTGTTCACCCAAGGTTTGACCTTCTGTCACCATCGAGGTGTCAGGTGGATGGTCCTTTCGCCGAATACGATTAAAGAATTTGCTGTTCCGGTTCAGCCAAACTTAGCTGCTTTGTGGAAGTACCCAATGCAAGTGGTCCCTCCAACAGCAGATGAAAACACTTTGACTGACCCCAGTAGTGCTTGCTCAGCCCTACCCTATCCCATACCATGGAGCCTCATCCCCTGGAACATATGCTTTGGCTTTGTGGCTGGCTACACTCTCCTCACAGATACAAGACTGAAAAAAACGACAGAGATTCTTAGGCGCGAGATAGACCCTTCCATCTTGCTCATGACGATGATGGAACTCGGTGTTCTGAGGCCAGCGCCGCCAAACCTACCAATTCTTGTGGCTAGCAGTCCTGATATTGACTACCCATTCAGCGTCATCCCTCCACAACTGACATCTTGCGGTCCCATAATACGAGCTGCTCCGCCCATTAGGGAAGTTGATGCCAACTTGAGCGAATGGCTCAGCCAAGGTCCAACGATATATGTCAATCTGGGCACGCATCACAAATCAAATCCTACAGAAGCTCATGAAATGTCCCAAGCCATGAGAAAGGTTCTCGAGCACGCCGATACTCTGCAGTCTGCGGGGAAGCTTGTTCAGATTCTGTGGAAGCTAGGACGCGTACCTAGCTTATATAAAACAAGGCAGAGTCCGCATCACGGACTGGCTTGTCGCTGGGCCAAAATCTGTCCTCGAATCACAGAACATCATTTGTTCAGTGAGTCACGGGGGAGCCAATTCCTTCTATGAAGCGCTATGGTGAGTTCATTNNGCGCTTCTACCCGCTTGGACAGATTGCTACGATTTCGCGAACCGTGTTGAACTACTCGGTATCGGGCGTTGGGCGAACAAGCAAGCAAAGCCTCGATGGGAAGAAGACGAGCTCGCTGGCGCGTTGTTGGAGGTTCTGTTTGGGTCGGAGTCCGCGGGGATGCGAGTGAAGGCAGAGGAGGTTGCGAGTCGCCATCCGCAGTGGAAGGGTCGGCAAAGGGCTACTCAAGAGATTCTCAAGTACTTGACGAGGCTGGAATACTGAGAAAATGGGAGGTCTAGGATTAGTGGTATGCTCGACAAAGACCACAGATGAAGGCTGAAGCTACATTGATGACAATATGAGATCAGGATCATGCATTATATAAAC